GCAGTGGGGGGGGGGGGGAGGGCCAGCCAAGCAGGGCGGGGGCACCAGAGTGTCACAGCTCCGCCCTCTGAGCCTGTCATCCCAGTCCCAAGCAATGCTGCTGGCTCTCCCCGGGCAACAGAAACCAGCTTAAAAGCACCTGTCTGGGCTGTCACATTGGTGTCAATCTACATTGGCTACACTGAAGTTAGTGGAGTCACAACAGAGTTACACTGGGGTGGCGAGAGCAGAATTCAACCCAGGTTCTGGCCTGTTCTCCTGCCACTTCCTCATCACGTCCGCGACCGGCCTCCCGCTTCTCCCTCTCACCATCCTTGGTGCAGGAGCCTTCTCCTGTGCAGCTCTGGCCTCCAGGAGCAGCTTGCCTATGCAACCACCCCCCATACCATCCCAGCTCTCAGCTGGCAAGGTCCCTTTTCTCTCTTGCCTTCCCCTCTCACTTCATCCCCACTGGTATCTAGTATCTATTTGGACACATACAGGGCAGAGGGAGGAGGGGAAAGGACCCATTTACTTCTACATATGCTCACAGAATGGGGGAGGCAAGTGCCCTCCCCCAAAGAGACTCTGGGTATGTCCCCTTATATGCTGGTGGGGCATGGACTTTGCTAGGGATTTAGACCTAGATGTGTGTGGGCTTGGGGGGGCCTACATAGATAGAAATCGGCAGGCAGGCAAGTGACAGGAAGGGAATGGAGCTGGTGGCAAATTCCCCTTTTAAATGTTTTTTGGCTTCTCTTCAAGTTTTCCTAGGAATATTTCACTTCTGGATTTCTTTTTATTTTTAAGGGGGAAAACATTTTCCAAGAAAAATGTTGAGGAATAGAGAAAAACCTTTGGGCTATGTCTAGACTGCAAGCCTCTTTCGAAAGAGGCTCTTTCGAAAGACAGCGTCTAGACTGCACGTTGAACTTTCGAAAAAGCGGCTTGCTTTTTCGAAAGAAAGCATCCAGTGAGTCTGGATGCTCTCTTTCGAAGAAGCCCTATTTACATTGAAGAACGCCTTCTTTCGAAAGAGGAACTTTCGAAAGAAGGCGTTCTTCCTCGTGAAATGAGGTTTACCGCCATCGAAAGAAAAGCCGCGTTCTTTTGATTTAATTTCGAAAGAACGCGGCTTGAGTCTGGACGCAGGGGAAGTTTTTTCGAAAAAAGGCTACTTTTTTCGAAAAAACCCCTGAGTCTGGACACAGCCTTGGTGTTGTCTACATTTTTCAGAGGGGGGAAACATTCATTTCCTAGTCAGCTCGAGAAAGGAACACAGCAGATACAGAGATTCCAGGGAGAAGCTGGGGAGAACAGAAAACTCTTCCCACTTTATTTCAAAGCCATGTTCTCTTTTTAGCACTCTCAGCACTTTGTATGTTTGTACTGTCCATGTTTCTTCTCTGTTTTGGTTCCATTTTCATTTCATGCAAATGTTACATCGCAGTGGATCTGAATGAACCCGGCAGCGTTGGGCAGGATGCCTGGATTCTAGGCTCAGCTTTGCTACTGATCTCTCGAGGGACGCTGGGCAAAACAATTCATCTCTTTGTACCGCTGTATCTGTAAAATGGGGCTAATACGGTAATGAATGGGCTAGTGTGTATGTGCTCCACTGCCTTCCGCTGCTGAATTGAAACCCTATGTCATAGTTCCCACACTGCCAACAACCAAAATGGATTCTCCTTCCGCTCACGTGGTAGGGGGATGTGCTTTTTGCAGCAGGAAACTCTAGTTCTGTCCTTGCTGTCATTGTTAAATTCCACAGTATAAGGACCGCCCGAAAGGCCTAATGACTGCAATTGCTTACAAGCCTGAGCTTGCTACCAGGAGGTGTAGAGAGGCTTAAGTAATGTTTGGGAACTATCGCAATGGAAAGCATCTGACCTATGTTACACCCAAAAAACGCCACTGATTTACTTCTGTGGGGGAGCTCCAGTTTACAGTGGGGTCACAGAGACCAGAATTTGTCTCTACGCTTCTGTATCCAGACTCCTTTGAGAGAAATATCCCAACTCCCATTGCAGGGTCTGCAACCAGACGCAGCCAAGGGGCCAGATTTTGAAAGACTCCCTTTGTAGAATTCCCACCATGCTCTCTGGTCTCATCACCGCCCGAACGCCTTTGGTCAGGCCACACCCTCTCACCGTATCCTCGTGCCCACTACTGGCTCTGTAGGCTTTCCAATTCTTCCCATCTTTGCTGGAGAAAACCTGGTAGGATTTCACGTAGTAGTTGTATTTGTCGGAGGATCCCTTGGTTGTAATTCCTGGAATGGCACAATGATATCAGAAAATGATAACCCCGAACAGCAGGTAGGAATCGGTTGTGAAATGGTCTTGAAGCTGTTGTCTAATAGAGACACAGACTTATGAGGGCAGAGATCCCGCCAGAGGGTGGATCTGATCCAACTCCCATTGACATCAATGGACAGATTCCCACTACCCTAAACAACTGTTGGCCTTTGGCCCTTGAAACCAGGCAATAAAGAGCTCTCTTGTTTTAATGGCATAATACCCCTTGGTCTTTGGTACTGCGGCAGTGGCTATGTAGCGGTTGGAACAGGCAAGAACTGAGACTCCTGGGTTCCTTCCTCCAGAGAAGAGCAAGGGTATATACTTCAGGAACTCTAGCTAGTGACTCTCTGTGTGACGTTCCCATCTGAGCCTCAGTTTCCCCAAATGCTAACTGGGGGCGATGATTCTGCCTGAAGGGTGTGGGGAGGATTAATGGATCCCTGCCAAGCCCCCAAAGAGAGGGCTCCGAGTGGGCCTAGCGATTATTAGGTTCTCGCTCTTCAGTCATCCCCACCGACTGACATAAGAGCCTGCCACCCCCCACCTTCCCATCTCAGCTCCTTTTCGTTTCTTGCCTGAATCCCTCCTTTCCATTCTCCCCACCTGCCCTCCACCGTCCTTGGAAAGCTTTCAGGCTGCCAGGTTTGAATGTCGAACCTCTGTGGAAGCCAGCTTCCCTCACCCTGCCTGAGATGAACAGATAACCCCCAAACTGCACTGCGGCCTGCATTCCACTCAGCCTCCAGCCGCCCGCCACACAATGCCTCCATTTTCCTCCGTCCAATTAACAAGCGCATTCTGGGCCTGCCACACAAAAGCCCCAATTTTGGTCAGGACTCTCAAAACAAAGGGCATTTGCTGGCCGCTGGCCCACGAGCAGAACATTAACTTGTTCAGCCCCGTGAGGCCAGCCTCCTCCCTGAGCTACAGAGGGAGCGATGGAGAGACGAGAGAGAGAAAGGAGGCCAAACTCAAGAGAGAGAAAAGGGAGACAGTGAAAAAGGAGAAAAGACAAGAGTGAATGAGACTAAAGAGAGGAATTGGACGTGCTAGGCTAAGCGCTCCAGTGAATGGAAAACATCGGGGGGCGGGGGAGGTCTGGAAGTAGAGTGACCATAATTCCCTATGCTGAATTATATTGCTCATAGTCAAGCAAGTCCAATAGCAATCAATCCTACAAACATCAAATTAATGTCAAGTAAGGTTTGAGGTTCAAACAGGGAAGGGTGACATACACACACCACCTCTCCGGGTACCCGGCACAGCATCTTCCTGGGGCAACATGTGGGGAGAATGCAGGGTCACATGCCCCCTCCCCAGATTTCTGCCAGGGTTCACACCCGAATGTGGCCAGTAGCAGCCCTTCGGCGCTGTGCAGGAGGGAAGGGAAGGGGGCTGCTTCCAGCTGCAGATGAGGATGGTGGGGAGGGATGATCTGGCAGAGTCTCTCTCTCCCCTCCACTGATCCCATGTGGCAGGAAGCAGCTTGCCCCCTTCCTGTCCACACTGCCAAAAGGCAGCCGACACTTCCAGGCTGCTGGCCACCAACATAACCTAGTTGCCTCCTGTCCCCTGGCTACAGCGTGGGCAGGAAGGGGTTAAGCCCTGAGGGTGCATTGTGCACCAGGGCCCAGGGAACCTGGCTGCAGGAGCTTCAGCAAGCCCAGCCAGAGAGGCGGCTCAGCAGAGGCGGCTGCCTAGGGGATGGAGCAGCCCCATGGTCCCTGGGAGCAGGGCCCAGGGCTGGGTGTGGGGGAAGAGGATGCTAAGTCCCTGCCCCGGGGGCTGCTGTGGAGCCTGCAGGTTTGGGGTGTGAATGGGCTGGAAATCGCTCTCCCCCCACTGCCAGAGATCAGCCGAGAGGCAGGGAGGCTCCCCCGTGCCAGCGCTGGGCAGGGCTTTGGCACACGCAGGGCTCAGCTCTTCCTGACCAGCGCCCTTGGCCAGAGGGCCTGGGGCTTTCCCAGGAGCTGGCCCAGCCAGGCTGTTGGGGCTGAGTGCTCGGGTCAGGGGCTGGTTCTCCAGGCAGTGCTGGGAGTGGGAAGTGCCCTGCCGGGGGGGCACGGAGGAGCAGTGAGGCGGGGGGGAGGGGTTGATGGGACAAAGCAGGGAGAGGTCCGTGTGAGGGGGGGGGCTGATGGGTGGGTAGCACCGGTGACACAACCAGCCACAGCCTGGCACCTGCCCACACTCCCCAACCACTGCACCCAGTGCCGGCTAGAAAGGGGATGGGGGCTGAGAGACCAGCGGGGGAGCAGCCTGCCCTGCTCGCTGCATCTTTGCCCCACCACCGCTCTTGCACACCCAGCCCCATCACAGACACCGGACAGCCCCACCCCCGCTCACCCCTGGCGGGCAGGGACCTGGCCAGCAGCAGGACTCCCCAGGACATATGGGGAGGGAGACAAAAAATATGGGACAACTTGCCCATTTTTAAGAAAAAGTCAGGACACCCACACATGGGCTTAAATACGGGACTGCCCCTTTAAAAACGGACAATTGGATCTGAATTCTGTTCCCAGTTACGCTGGAGCAAATCTGGAGGGACTTCAGTGATGTTTCCGTTGCTTCACCTGACTGATACCAGCATGAGATCAGAATCCAGTGCCAGCTCACCCCCCAACTTCATTAGTTGTAACGCTGCCCCTCTCTTTTCCTTTAAACTGGGGGGTGCTTAGGTGGAAAGTGCCTGCATCCTGGAAATGTGGGTATGCCCAGGCTTGGGGCTGCCACTTGCCAGAGGCACCCCAGATCTATCTTCAGTGGTATCTCCTCCTGACGGAAGGGGCAACATGAGGAGGAGGAGCCAATGTTTCCCAGGTAGCGATGCTCTAGAGCAGGGGTGGGGAACCTATGGCCTAGGGGCCGGATCCAGCTGCCTGCTTACCTGGCTCCAGCCCCCAACTCAGGGCTCTCCCCCCAACATCGAGGAGCTGGCTCTGGTGCTTCAGCATCCCTCTCCCCCAGCCCACTGATGCCCCTCTCCGCTGCTGCACCCTACCTCCTGTCCAGCCCTCCCACCCCCCGCCTGCTCCTGCACCCTCCCAGGGTCCCAGACTCACCCAGCTGGGTTCCTAGCAGTCCCCTCCCACACACTGAATCCCTTTTGGCCTCACCTGGGCTCTGGCATGCAAGGGGAACGTGGGCAGAGTCGGAGGTCACCTCAGTGAGGTGTTTTTGCTTCTCATTTTTGAGGCCTCCAACTGATTTTTCTATGGTTGAGCAGCAGCAGCCCCCAACCCTGAACAGTTTCCCTGCCCCAGCTGTGGGGAGGTTACGCAGCAGGGCCCGGCACGCATGCGGAGTGTGAGATCTGGCATCCAGCGGGTGGGCAACACGAGTGTAACTTACATGCCACGGGAGCAGCCCAGGAGCTGGGTCTGACTCTGATCCTGCTCTCGCTGAGCCCATGTAACCCCACTGACGTCAGTGGCACAAAGCCGGTGCGAGGCGAGCGGCGGGCTCCCCGCCAAGAGGGGTTAGATCACAGCAGATCTGCTCCTCCCCGGACCTGCCTGGGTCACCTCTACCCCCATCCAGATGGCTCATTGTGCACAGGCCCACGGAACACCACTCACACCTGCGTGCGCCAATGCCCTGACCTCCATGCAGACCCCCTGCTGCTTCTGTGGGCCACGATGCGTCCTACACCCGATGAGTGACTGTCACCGCTGCTCCAGGGGGCAACGCAGGACGCAAGAGGGGTCTGAGGCTAAGGGACTATTTGATGAGGCCGAAGGCCAGAAGCACAATGGGCCAAGTCCTCCACTGTTGTCAACTGGCTTAGCTCCACCGAAGTGGACACCGATTTACACATCTGAGGCTCTAGCTCTGTATATTCCAACAAAGGCAGGTGGAAGTTGATTCTCCTCTCACATTATTCCTCTCTTCCAGCAGCCCCTGCAGCATGGAGTTACTCCTGATTTACTCCAAGGTTAGTGAGCTCGGGATGAGGCCCGTGGAACGACTGTGGGAGAGATTCTGGAGTGACTTCACTGGGACAAAGACCGAGTCAACTAGTCTGTAAACTGTCCCAGGAAAGGGAAGCAATGAGGCTCTGGTGATTTACCCCAGCTGAGGCTGTAACCCCTCCATTGGCACAATGGAGCTATGCCAGTTTACATACAGCTGTGGATCTGGCCCTTAACCAGGCGTAGCTATCCAGGTGTGATTGGGGTGGTGCTGTTTTACACCCGGAGGAGCTGCTCTCCCGTGCCGTGGTCCAGTCCCGGAGGAAGAGAACAGCGCCGGATACTTACTGACCTGTGATGTTCTTCCTTCCACCCAGGTCTAGCTCCAGCCATTCAGTCTCCGAGCTGGAATCAGCTGCCCATGAGTGTCCGTGGATGCTGAACGCCGCCCGCTCAGCTGTCCAGGGCTTATACTGCCCCATGGCATTGACCTCGTGCCAGGAGGAGGAGGCGTTGAAGCCGGCTGCGTCCAGGGGATCGTCACAGGCTGGAAAAGGAGGTGCACAACTGAAGGCAAGTGGGAGAACTGGCGGCTGGGTGGTAGGGGGTGGGCACAGTGGAGGGGAGGCCTTTAGCCACAGAGGGAGTGTGCTGGGGGAGTCGGATGGGTCTTAATGAAAAATTCCTCTCTGGCCCGGCCCCATGCACAGTGCAGCCCCAGCAAGCCGCCGGCGGCACCATCTGACTCAGCCTTAGCCCCTTTCTTTTGGCACCTTCTCCACTGATGCTCCCCCCCTGTGACTAGCTGACCCTGGTAAATAGAGGGGGCAGGGGGCTTCATTTCTACGTGGCAGGCCTGGAACCCAGCAGAGCCCAGCCCCTTGATCTTCCCCGCTGGGATTCTCTGTCAAGCTGCTGGCTCATCGCCTGCAGCCAAAGGTCCTCGCAGGGCAGGGTCATGGCAAGACATGCGGACCTCACACCTGCCGGACAGCCTGCCTCTGCGCTCGCCCCCCTCTCTAACCTCCGCGGGTGCCCAGCCAGGGGCCCAGCGGGAGTAAATTGGTACAGGTGCAATGGAGCGGCCATGTGCCCTCCGAGGAGCTGGCTCACTGACTTCACTGGTGTCATTCCTGATCTACGCTGCCCCGGGGAACCTCCCCCTACTCCCAGTGAAGCTGCCGGAAGCTTTGCTATCGATTTTGCCTGCACGACTTGTTCAAGGACAAATGGAAAGTGACGTACCTTTGTGAAAAACGAGGCGCTTTTCAGACAGGGACCCACTGTTGGAAAGAAAATGGGTGGAGAGCATTATACACTGGGAGACAGGAACGGCCTGATTCTGAGCTCATGCTAGGGTTGCCAGATGGTTTAACCAAAAATACTGAACACCGCCCCCCCCCCCAAAAAAAAAACACTGGGGAAAAAATTCTGTTGAGAGAAAAAAGGGGGAGACCAAAGTTGTTGAACCAAAAAAAAAAAAAAAAAAGACCCTGAGATTTGTCAAGCAAAAAACAACAACAAAAAACTCCCAGAAAGCCCCCCAGTATTGCCTCTTTAAGAAATGCTTTTGTGCTTTTGAGGCTTCTTGTCTTTCTGCTCCGGACCCGACAGCTCCCCTGCAGAACCACAGAATCCTAGAACCATAGAACTGGAAGAGACCTCAGGAGTCATCAAGTCCAGCCCCCTGCTCTAGGCAGGACCAATCCCAGGTAAGCACCCAAGATTTTCGCTTCCTGGCTGGGAAAAAAATCAGAAAATACCAGACATTGTAGGTGTCCGGTATTTTCTGAATTTTTTTACCGGACAGGAGGCGAAAATACTGGACTGTCCAGGTCAATACCGAACACCTGGCGACCCTAGCTCATGCTGGTGGAGCACAGAGGTGGCTCCACCGAAGTCACAGCGAGGTACGTCCCACCAGCGTGAGTTGGGGGAATAACTGCCCCAAAGTCAGCACAGTTGCTCTAAGTTTGCCCCAGTGTAACTCAGAGCAAAATTCAATTGTCAGGCTTCACTCTCCTTCCCGGCTGTAAGTGCGCTGATTTCCATGGAGTCACTCCTGATTCACACCAGGGTGAGCGAGAGGAGAACCTGGCCACATGCAGGACGCAACAACCATCACAGAGCACCACGTGTTCCCTGCTGTGACACCTCTGGGGGACCCACTTAATCTGGTGGAATCTAAATCACATTTGAGACCCTTGGCTCACATCTGAGCAAGCGTAAATGGGAGCAGCTCCCCAGTTCAATGAGGTTGCCTGCTCCCTGACTATGACCCCCATGCTTCTCTCCCATCCCCTCAACCTCAGCCACTGTTGGTCCCAGTTTGGACAGCACCAGCTGTAACTCCACAGAAAGTACAACTGGCTCCTTGGTCCGCCAGGGCCAACCATATGCTCTGCATCAGCAAATGGCCCCGTACACACCAGTTGCCAGACTGGTCAGGCAGGGCTGCTGGCAAGATCAGATTGCTACAACGCTGCTGACGCAAGTCGCTCTCTCTGTAAAGAAGCAGCTAGATTGTACTGCTGGAATTAAATCAGAATTGGCTCCGATTCCCTGGTTACTAATGATCTGCATTTCTATGGCCCTTTTCATCTAAGGAGCTCAAAGGGCTTCACACACATTCACGAACAAATTGAGCCTCACCCACCCCACGAATTGGACAAGTCTCATTACAGCTTTGGGGAACAGCAGCCCGGAGAGATTAGGGCCCTGGGTGCTAAAGGGTTTTATACATTGCCGCAAAACACAACCTGTGCCTGATTTGAGTTGGTTGCCTCGATCCCATTGTGAGGTGAGTTCCTAAATCTGTTAGATGTTGCCACACTGAACGCAGTTACTCCGATCGACCATTGCAAATCTGGCCCTAAACGACTTGCAAGTCAGAGTCAGAGCTGGAAACAGGACCCAGGTCGCCCCAAGCCTCTCTAATGCTCCTTTCATCGGCTCTTTAAAAGAAAATACAGGCCAAATTCTGCAGCCATCACTCAAGTAAAACTTCCGTGGACTTTTGCTTGAGTGAATCTCGCAAGATTTGGTCCTCTCTGGTTTTGAGCGACACATTGTCCCTCTAAAACCAGCAGGCCAGGTCTCGGGATGGTAACAATCAACCTCATTCCACTGTGGTCTGAGGATCTGGGCCAGTTGTCCCAAGGAGGGGACATAGAAGGCCAGCCCAAATGGATCTACTAGCTCAGTAAACAAGGGTGCTGGTTGCTCACCTTTTTGAGAGGAGTCCATTGGCGAAGGCTGATTCATACAGAGTGATCCCCTTCTCCCGAGACAGAGTCACCTGCCCTCCCATCTCATCCGAGATCACTCCCGCGTGGATGGCTGCCTTGCAGAGAACTGAGGTCTGGAGAGGGCATGGAAGCAGTGAATGAAGGGGAGGTGGAGAGAAAACCCCAGGAAGAGGGCCCAGCCTGAGCTTCCACGGCACAGAGAGATTCTGGCCTCACTCAGCGGTGTGAACCCAAAGAGACCCGATGGATTTCAGTGGAGCCAGTCCAGATTTACACCAGTGTAACCAAGACCAGAGTCTGACCTCGTCACACAGACTAGGCTCTCTGCTTTCTATTCGGACTTCACGCCTGTGCAATGGGGAGGAACCACACTGGAGTGAGACCAGGACCAGGCCCTGGTTTTTTCAAGTGAATTTCCCTCTGGTGCCAAGTGTAGTGGAACAGCAGCCCCGGACTCTGCTGAGGGGGACCCAGCAGGTACATGGCATCCCACATTGCCCTGCCAACGGGCCTGAGGATTGGAGAATTCACCCTCCAGAGGCCTGTTCAATTCTTGACCTCCCTGCTGAGAGTGCCAGAAAGATACAGATCGGGGCAACTGGGCCCTTGGGTGCCCCTGTGACATGGCCCCTCTCTGTTGGGAAAGGGACTCGCAGACCTGCTGCCCCTCCAGCCGCTGCTCTGGGCTGGTCTCTGCAAGGCGCACTCATGCTGTACTCACGTCTCGGTAGCCCTGCTTCAGGTTTCCCCAGATGTCACCCACGACTCCCTTGCAGCCTGCTGGGCAGAAAACGCTGAAACACCGGACAAAGAGCCCTGAATGAGGTTCTGCTCTCTCAGCTCATCTCCAGCACAACTGGGTTCACTGATGATCCTGGAGCTTGGGGATTTACTTTCCCCCACCCCCAGGTTATCTGCATTTAGCAAAGTTGGATTTGATAGAAGGTGTTGGACCGACAGTCCAGGGAACCGGAGCCCTCTCCAGCCTCAGAACAGAGCAGTGCAAGCTTGTCCAACCCAGTCTCCGAGACACTCGGTTTCCTCAGCCCAGCATTCTTGCCCTCCCCACGGAATAGCATGGGTGGTGGATTGTGTGATGCACATGGGAATTCAAATCAGGCCATCAGATCCAACCCATAAGTGGCATCCCATGGTCCAGGAAAGAGCTGGGCCAAACCTGCAAACCATCTCCCATCAAATTCCATTCGAGGCCAATGGGCCCTTAATCTGGTCCTGGGATTTTGTGTTCAGTCCCTGCAAATACTCTAATGATGGAGTTCCCCAGCATGAATGGGCCAGGAGTATTTCTACCAGAACCCTAACTCTGCGAGTTACGCTCCTCCAGCTGGGCTCAGAAACAGCAGGGGACCCAGGTATCCAATCAAAAGTTTAGGCTCTGAATATTTAATCACACTGAACCACTCACAGAAGAGTAGCAGATGGAGGATTGTTTGCAGCTGTTACTTGACAGAGCATCTCCACTAACCAGTAACTGGAGGAAATAGTTTGTGACATTTGTCTGCTAAATGACCACAAATTCTTCGCCTGTGCAGTGAATCCACAGGTGGGTGGCTAATAACCATGAATAACTGACACAAATGGCACCTTTCCTGGGATAATCTCCCAGTGCTTTGTGACTAGTGATTACAAAGCCGGACAATCCCCCTGGGAGCAGATATTACCCAAACTCAAACCAGGGAAGCGACTTGCCCAAGGCTAGTCAGTGAATCGGGAGCAGAGGACCCCAAGAATCTGCCTTTGTAATGCCTATCTAGAGTACAGAAATTTGCATCTGTGTAGGCACATCAATGCAATTACATCAGTGCAAATGGTCACACGCTCTCCAAATGTCTATGGAGTTACATCATATGGGTTTGGCTCATTCTCAGATAATAGACTCCCCCGACAGAAATCACTCACCTGATTTGTTCCTGGTGATAATGGGTCCCTTTATCCAAACAGGAAATCAGATCTAAAAGACAGAGAATCTAGTGGCCTCACTGATCTCTGTACCCAGAGGCAGACGGCTTTGCAGTTTGTTTCTGAGACCCTGGCTTGACACTGATGCAATTCCAGTGAGCGCAGTGAGTCACTCCCGATTTACACCCGCCTGATGAGTGACATCAATAAAACCCTGGCTGGCACCATATATCCCTCCGGCTCAGCATGGTCTCCCAGTGACCTGTGCCGCATCCTGCCATGTTATACCCACATGGTAGTGCCATTTTACCCCAGCTACGTCTAGACTGGCATGATTTTCCGGAAATGCTTTTAACGGAAAAGTTTTCCGTTAAAAGCATTTTAGGAAAAGAGCGTCTAGATTGGCATGGACGTTTTTCTGCAAAAGCACTTTTTGCGGAAAAGCGGCCGTGCCAATCTAGACGCGCTTTTCCGCAAAAAAGCCCCGATCGCCATTTTAGCCATCGGGGCTTTTTTGCGCAAAACAGTACTGTGCTGTCTACACTGGCCCTCTTGTGCAAATGATTTGCGCAAGAGGGCTTTTGCCCGAATGGGAGCAGCACAGTATTTCCACAAGAACACTGACAATCTTACATGAGATCGTCAGTGTTCTTGCGGAAATTCAAGCTGCCGGTGTAGACAGCTGGCAAGTTTTTCTGCAAAAGCAGCTGATTTTGCAGAAAAACTTTCCAGTCTAGACACAGCCCCCATCTTTATCAGTGCCATCTTCTAATTCCCTATTGACTTCAAACTGGTCTCAGCTTGGGTCCCTCTAGGCTCCTCAGATTGTCAGCTCTCTGAGGCAGCAATTTAGTTCTATATTTGTACAGCACCTAGCGCATGGGGGCAGGGCCCACAACAAGGGCTCTGCACGTGCCAGTCTGTGATCACTCAGACCCCAGTCCTCCAAAGTCCTTATGCCCTTAACTCCCATCAATATAGTTTCCTCAAATGGAAAATGGATCGAGCCTCATAGTCTCTCTAGTGAGTCAGGTTAGTATTGTTAGTCCAACTGAGGCCCAAACTGGTGACTGACCAAAAGTTACACAGCTAATCTGTGGCAGAGCTAGAGATAGAAGGGAGATGTCCTTACTCACAGGTCCTGGTCTAACTGGCAACAGACGCTGCCTTCCTCAGGGACATGGGCAATGTTTAGAAGCCAAACTGCTAGCTCACTAATGTGACCATGCTGAATAGTGCAAGGAATGGTGGCGTATTCCCTAGAGAAGCCACGGGGAGACCAAAGCTGTTATTCTTTGGCTCTTCTAACGGAAATTACACACCACAATCCAATGTTTGTGGGTTCCCGGTAGCCCAGCCCAGCCCAACACACACACTCTCATGGGCAATGTTTAGAAGCCAAACTGCTAGCTCACTAATGTGACCATGCTGAATAGTGCAAGGAATGGTGGCGTATTCCCTAGAGAAGCCACGGGGAGACCAAAGCTGTTATTCTTTGGCTCTTCTAACGGAAATTACACACCACAATCCAATGTTTGTGGGTTCCCGGTAGCCCAGCCCAGCCCAACACACACACTCTCACGAGCGAAAGAGAAGGTGACTCATGGATGTTTGTGGCGTACACCCAGCGCTGATGTGCAAGCACTCAGGGTCAGATGCCAGCTGCTGATGCTGCTGTCCTGAAGTGAAGGGTAAGAATTTAGAGCCCTGAATCGCCTTTGTACAAAGGCCCCTTTGCATCACTCGGTGCCCAGTTGATGCCCCTTTATTCTGACACCATTGAGCGTATGGGCTTTTGTGTACATAAGAATCAAGCACTGGAGGGACGCGGGGGGTATGTACCACATACGCACCTACACAGCCACGTGTGTCAGGGTAGAAATTATTCACCAGCCTGACTTTGGGATGGCTGCGTTATTCACAAGTGACAAAGGAGGCATGATTCATGCCAGCACCCCAAATGACAGCTGATCAAACCTTGTCACCATATCCCGCCTGCTGTGCTCTGCACATGCCTCGTAGGCAGAGTTCCCTGTAAACAGGCTGCTTGTGCAGCTGCTCAGGAGACATTCAAATGCTTCCCAAGGGATCTGCAAAGTGGCCATGGGTAGGTTTTGTTTCTATTGGTGGTGCACATACCTCAGTGCACATAAAATTATTCCACACATAGATGGAAAAAGATTAGCGAAAACTTTGCTCCTAGGTTGCAGCAAAGGTTCTAGTGGGAGAGAGGGGCATTCCATAGGCTGCTGGTGGACTGTGGGCATTCCCTGGTTGCATGGCACTGGCATCTTCACTTCCAGGGGCTAAATGTCATTGGGAGACATAGAGTTCAGGATTTGCCTGGAAGCAGCTGGCACATCTGATGATGTGGACTGAGAGGGTTGAAAGGGGAGGGGGCAGGGAGGCGGTATGCAACTCAAGTGGGCTGTGAGGGGAGGGAGCAGGGAGCCGGTGTGTGACTCAGCTGGGCTGTGCGGGGAGGGAGCAGGGAGCCGGTGTGTGACTGAGCTGGGCTGTGAGGGAAGGGGGCAAGGAGCTCAGTGTGTGCGACTCAGGTGGGCTGTGAGGGGACGGGGCAGGGAGCCGGTGCAGGGCTCAGATGGGCTGTGAGGGAAGGGGGCAAGGAGCTCAGTGTGTGCGACTCAGGTGGGCTGTGAGGGGACGGGGCAGGGAGCCGGTGCAGGGCTCAGATGGGCTGTGGGGGGGACTCAGAAAGCCTGTGGGGGGCAGCAGCAGAGGGCCTAAAATGACCTCCCCTGGTCTGGAGAAATCCCTCATCCAGGACCAGTCAGGTTCCGAGGGGGCCAGACCGAGGAGGTCCAACCTATAGTTCTGTGGCACCTTAGAGAATAATACAAAAGTACATTTAGTATCATGAGCTTTCCTGGACAAAACCCACTTCACTTATGGGACCGTCTGTCCCGCTGGAAGCAGGGGAAGGGCACAAAAAGGGACCTGGCCAGAGGACCGAGCTATACGAAGCCGATCGCTGCAGGGCTGGAGTGACTGTCCGCTGGGGCGCCAGGAGGGGACAGCCAGCTACAGTAGGAGCAGCCATGCCAGGGTGAGTCCCTCTTCCCCAGGGGCACTTTGTCCGGTGGCATCCATGCATTTAGCACTTCTGCTCCTTGGCCTGCCCTCTGAGCCAGCCCCTGCCAAACCACGGAGCAGTGAACAGATCTCAACTGGAGTTTAAATCCATCCACGGCCGCCGTGTTTCCTCCTCTCCCAAATGTGGAATCCTGCCCCTTTCTCCACCCCTCCCCTTCCAAATTAGACCTGCCAAGGCCCAGGCTGGGCGAGATGCCGTCCTGAGCCAGGTTTTTGGCCAGGACTGGGAGTTTTGTACTATTGGAAAGGATTCCGAAGGGGAGACTGCTGGGTGTCTGGAGCTCCGGTCTAGCCCTGGGAGGCCCCGAAGCATCACGTTCCTAAATTTGTGTCACGTTATTGTGCCCGGAGGAGTGAATGCACGCTGGTTTTAGAAGTCTCTTCTAGACAGTCTCTCCCTCTGCACCCTGCACTGGCTAGTGGATGGGATCTAAGACAGCGGCCAGGGCGAGTGGAAGGTGACCTGGAGTCCAGAATAATTCTGCAAAGCTCTTTAAACGACCCCCTTGGAATACTGATCTGTAGCGTGGGTGGCGGATGCAGAACTCATGACGGCAGAAAGGCCAATGGGCGCAGGCCTGGAGCAGCTTGCACAGCTCAGCCACAGGCTCCGCATGGACGGTCTGGAGAGAGCTGTGCAAATAACAGGAAGGTTCGCTGGCAATTCCAAACAATGGGGGGGTGGGTGCTTCTGAGCCAGTCCATGCTGTCAGCCCACCTAGGGCTGTACCAGCAGCACAGATGCCCTGGGGATAGGGAGCCGGCACCATCTGCAGTGCTCTGAGGCCCTGCTCCCGGACCATCCAGCTCAGGACTAGAGCTTAGCTGTAGGGAGGGATCCTCTTGGCCTACCCACCCCAGCTGTGCCTGGAGCAGCTACACAGAGCTGGGCTTGGCAGTGTGCTGGGGGGGAGCCAGCTGTCTGGGGGCCTTCTGCCCCCATGGCGAGGGGGCTGGATCTGGGTTATGCCATTTGTCTCTCCCCACCCCGGCTTGTCACCCGCTGTGTGGCTGCAGGGTGTCCCGTACCTGGGTGCTGGCTGGTGGCATAGGAGAGCAGGAAGCCGCGCCCTGAGCGGTGAGTGGTGCTGTTGAACTGGATGGTCACCGCACTGGAGTTCATCGCCAGAACCTTGGAGGTGGGGTTTGAATTCCCGCAGTACGGACCTGCCAGGGGAGAAGCGGCCTGAGTGACCGACACAAAAACATGGGGCGATGGCATCTACCGACAATGGGAACGGATAGGTGGAGAGGGGGCACCTCCCTGGGCCTCCCGTTTCAAGCCACAGTCCCTGGGCTCCTTAGCAGCTTCTGATCCTGACCATGATCCTTTGCGTGTTGGCCGCCTCCCCTCCTCTTCCCCACCAGTCACAAGCCAAACCCGTGTCACCAGCCTGCACTCAGTGGTCTGGCCTTTGGGGCAGGGGGATAGAACGGGGCCCCGATCAGACCTAGCCACAGCTGTGCAAGCAGAGAGGAAGCTGCTCCATGCAGAGGAGTGGAAGGCATAGGGTGTGTCTAGACTACAGGGGTTTTGTCGACAAAAGTGGACTTTTGTTGACAAACTATACCTGCGTCCACACTGCCTTTGAGTTATGTCGACGTAATGTCGACAAAACTCAGCAGTTTTGTCCACGTATGTAAACCTCATTCTATGAGGAATAACGCCTTATGTTGACAGAGCTCTGTCGATAGAAGGTATTATTGCATCTACACTGTCCTTTGCGTCCACACTGTTATGTCGACAAAGCAGCTTGCTTTGTCGACAGAACTGGATGTAGTCTAGACGCTCTTTGTTGACAGAAGCTTTGTCAACAGTATCTGTCGACAAAACTTCTGTCGACAAAACCCTGTAGTCTAGACGTACCCATAGAGAACAGCCCTTGGGCAAGGCAGGCCACAGGAGGTGGGGACAGGGATGCAGAAGGAAAGGGAGCTGGACAGGTGATGCGGAAGGCACAGGAGGGATCAGACAATGGAATGTCCTGGTCCAGGTGGCAGGAACAGGAGATACTTTTGACAGCTGGGGGGTGGGGAGAAAAGTGTGTCTGTGCTACCACCAGGGGGTGATAGAGAACAGCCCTTGGGCAAGGCAGGCCACAGGAGGTGGGGACAGGGATGCAGAAGGAAAGGGAGCTGGACAGGTGATGCGGAAGGCACAGGAGGGATCAGACAATGGAATGTCCTGGTCCAGGTGGCAGGAACAGGAGATACTTTTGACAGCTGGGGGGTGGGGAGAAAAGTGTGTCTGTGCTACCACCAGGGGGTGATGAAGCGTAGGAGAGGGAGGGGAATCCTGGCATTGCAGCTCCCACCTGGTGTCACCGGCATGAGAGAGCGGAGGCTGCGTTCCTGCAAAGGGCTCCCAAACCCCGGGGCATCTCCCCAAAGGCCCTGCCGAACTGGGCCCTGTTCTCTGTACTAGCAGGTTTGAGCCCCGAACAGAGGCAGACAAGCTGATTTCAGCCAAGACACAGTCCAGAAGCTCGTCTCCCCTGCAGGCCTCGGCCCAAGCTCAGCGGGGACCTGCTGGCTCACACTCCGCGTGGGTGGGAGGCTGCAGCGTCACTGCTGAGCAATACGGGCTGGCCCAGATGGCCAGACGCTCGCTGCAGCGCTGTCTGCTTCCAAAGGGTTGGCTGCTGACGCAGCAGGGAAATGAGCAAGGACCAGGCAGAACCATCTCTGCGACGGATCATTGCAGGGTGCCCTATGCACCCCTAATGGGCCCCCCCTGCTCCTCCTCCCTCCCCGGCCTCCACTTCATCCTCAGGCCGCTTTCACTGGGCGACTGAACAGCTCTGACCCCTTTCTGTGCAGCAGCTGGTGCTGGCGACTGTCAGACCCCGGATGCCAGACAAAATGGAACTGCCAGATTTGATCGGACCCGATGTCTCATTTTAGAGCCCTTCTGCATCACTTCCTAGACCGCGGTGGGTGCTGTGAGTCACACGCCGTGTGGCTTCTCCCTGCCCCACCCGGGGGACCCTGCGGCAGCTGTCAGCATGTGTCAGAACTGAAGGTTCCTTCCTGCCAGTCCACAGCAATAACAGCATCGATAGCCACAGGACCCCTCCTCCTGTAACTGCCCAGCAGGCTTTATACCGTGCGTAGGTCCAGGAATCACGTGGCGCACCACTGAAATGCAGCCACCTCTGAGGTGGGAGATGGCCGCTGGTTAACAGCTGTTTAGGATGGGAACTGATAAGCTGGGGTTTGGGCTGCCCCTGGCAGAGGAAATGAACTGCAGAGGGTCAGGGGAGGTGCACAGTAAGAAAGATCTAAGTAGCCCAATGCTGCCCATTGCTCATGCAGCTCCGCATAAATGGGGTGCCGGGACAGGGCCTGGCCAGGATGGGAGCACACGTCCTATGGAGAAGGACAGTCCAGGCTCTGGAGAGTCCAAGCTGTGGCCTGTGTTGTTTGAAAATTAAGTGCAGAAATGACCTCATGCCCCACTGAGATGACAAGGGAGCTTACACCTCTTGCCAAACTCTTGTTTCAGGCCCAGGGTCCAAGGTCACATACGGAGGGGCGCTGCTGGCAGGCACCCCTGCGTGAGCTTCAGTCTAGCTACAGCAGATAACAAGAGCTGAGAAGATGTGGCAGCAATGGGGACTAGCTGCCCTACGACAACCAAGCCAGCTGTCAGGGATGATCTAGCTCCATGGCATCCAACACACTAGCCACAGGTGGCTATTTGGCCAGTTGTGGGCTTGAACAATGTGGCTATTTGGCCGATTGAGTGTGGCTAGTTTGCTATAAAACTGTGGATCTAGATGGTGCTTGGTCCTGCCATGAGGGCAGGGGACTGGACTTTATGGCCTCTCAAGGTCCCTTCCAGTTCTAGTGCTCTATGATAAGCCCGCATGGGAACTGGGTGCTGGCCCAGGCTTGGTCCGTGCCATTGCATCTTCTTTGCTGTTGTGTGTGCTAGCTACGCCTAACCCCTGCTACAAATGCACCTTCACGTGGGGGTAGGTGGTCCTTTAGGCCAGTGTCTCTCAGCCTTTCCAGACTTCTGTACCCCTGTCAGGAGTTGGATTTGTCTTGCAGACCCTCAGTTTCATCTTGTTTACAATTGACTTACTTACAAATTCAGACATAAAAATACAAAAGCGTCACGGCGCAGTGGGACTGAGAAATGGCTGACTCTCGCCTTTGTACCATAAATTAACGGGAATAGAAATACTTCCCTTGCGAGTCAGAGTGTACTACACTATATATAGTATATACCACCTACCCCCCAAATGAAGGTGCATTTGTAGCGGGGGTTAGGTGTAGCCATGTTGCTTTAATTTAGCTAGCGCACATAACAACAAACCGTGGTCTGTTTGAAATTTTACTTCGTACTGACTCTTCTAATGCTTTTTATGTAGCCTATTGTAAAACCAGGCAAATGGCTAGATGAGCTGATGTACCTCAGGGAGACCTCTGCGCAGTGTCGGGGTACACATACCTCTGGTTGAGAACCGCTGCCTTAGGCCTTGTCTACACTATGAGACAAGCAATCGATCCGTTGGTGGTCAATTTATTGCATCTTCTTAAATGCGACAAACCAATCTCCGAGTATGCTCCCGATGCTGGTACTCCATCAAGTTGCGCCGGCATCAACAAAAGAGCAGCCCCCACCGACCTTACCACACACAAGACACCGTGGCAAGTATGTTGACTTTAGCTACGCTATTTGCATAGCTAAAGTGGATCAACGGCAGCCATTAGTATAGACCAGTGTTTCTCAAACTGTGCTCTGCAAGACATCTCCAGGGGCTCTGCGAGGTTAACTCTGGGTACGTCTAGACTACATGCCTCTGTCACCACAGGCATGTAGATTAGGCTACCAGGCATAGGAAAATGAAGCGGCGATTTAAATAATCGCCGCTTCATTTAAATTTACAAGGCTGCCATGCTGAGCCGTTTGTCAGCTCAGCGCGGTAGTCTGGACGCGCGGGTGTCGACAAATGCCTTTGATGTCGACACCTGCGCGTCCAGACTACCGCGCTGAGCTGACAAACGGCTCAGCATGGCAGCCTTGTAAATTTAAATGAAGCGGCGATTATTTAAATCGCCGCTTCATTTTCCTATGCCTGGTAGCCTAATCTACATGCCTGTGGTGACAGAGGCATGTAGTCTAGACGTACCCAGACTGGAAACATCAATAGGTACAGCACAAACAATCAGTGGACCACTGGGGCTCCGCATACAAGTTTGAGAACCACTGGTGTAGACAATGCTTGGCTAAGGCTTTCCCTGGAAAGCTTCCTTCACCACCATGGGGGTGGGAAGTTAGAGCCCAAACCTGACCTCGTGTAAATCAGTGTAGTTGTTTTGACATCAGAGAAACGAGACCGACTGACGTCTGCTGAAGATCCGGCCTTTACTCTTTTTTAAGGCTGAAGCCGTACACTGGGCATGATTTGAATCTGGGGGGCAAGAGTGGATCGATGCTGCAAGTGGCTGTTTCAGCAGAACTGGAGTCTGCCTGGTCTGTCCTGAGCTGAAACACCAAACTCATTTTGCTTCTGACCTCTCTGGAGCCTCCCCATCCTGAGCTGTGAGGTGGGTGCCACTGAATTCTGCATCCGTGGGGGATCTCTTCATTGTGCATGCTGAATCAGGCCAGCCCCCAGCCCAGCTAACCAGATTGCAAGATATCTCGCCAAGCAGCTTGGTGCCTGCTCGCCCCCAGAGCCAGGAAAATAGCTGCGCTTCTTCGGCGTCTGGTATGCAAGGCAGCGGCAAGACAATGAAACTCCCACAGGGTTCCCAGAATAACTTCTAATGAGAGCCTCTTAATTACATCATGTCTGGGGATCAGGAGACAGGCGACCCTCACGCTCAGCTCTTATCATGCAGCCGGAATCGCTCGCTGCACACACTGGATGGACACCCGTACCGGCTGGGCTGCCCCGGTGGAAGCTGCTCCCCTTCCCTGGAAGGAAAGTCCACCTCACAAATGCAAACGCAGCTGGTGGCTATTCATTCGTCCGCTGGCCCTGGAGCATGGGGACCAGACTAAAGGGGTGGCTGCTTAGCTCCCTCTCCTGCACCTTCCTCTTTGCACAAACCAGATTCAGCAAATAAAACCTCCAGGCCTCGAACCATTTCCTCCCCGTGAATTTGCCAAGGCCATCTCCCTGATTAATACGGCGGCATAACCAGCTGAT